TAATGCTCTTTAAATCCTTTCTCTCTCTAAACATGTCATTTCTTCACTCTTTAGTAGCTCTCTCTAACATTGCCATTTATCTCCTAACTCATTTCTTCTCTTTGATTGCGTCCATGTTCTCTCTCTATTTTTATCTTTTATCTCTAATAATGACATTTCTCTTTTTAATTTTTTTTTTTAAAATGCCCTTTCTCTTCCAACTCTTTTCTCACTCTTAAATCTTCCTAACCCTCTTTTTCTCTCTCTTTAAATGTGCCCCTTCTCCCTCTAATTATATCCGCTTATCTTTAGGTCCTCTCTCTCTCAAGTGCTGAAGCATGTTCTCTGTAAAACTTTATTACAGCAATTTGAAGCCTCAACTTTGTATTGGAGAAATCACAAAACAAATTATCAAGCAAAAATTCAAGTGAATAGGAATTTCAAGGTTCCAAAAAATTTACAAATATGTGCCTCACAAGAATTTCAAATGAATTAACAAAGGCCATGTGTATGTTGATCACTATTATTCAAGTTTTATCCCAACTATTTCAGGCCGACTACATAGATTTTATTCTGCCATTCCGCTTTATCAATAGATTACTCTCAATCAGATCATAAGTTACTATGTTTTTTTTCACATCTTCCATTCATGTTATTTTGGGCATTTTTCTTGCCCTTTTAGAGTCTTCCACTTAAACCAAATATCTTTTTCTAACAAGTATTATATTCAGTCTACGATACACATGGTCAACCTACCTAAGTTTACCTTTCCTCATCTTATCGCCTATCGGAATCACCCTTAAGTTCTCTAATATGTAATTATTTTGAATCATATCCTTTTTTGTCTTGCCACTCATCCATCTCAATTACATCCACATCTGAGCTATACTCATCCTATGGATATGTTTCTTGACTACCCAACACTTCTTCTTATAAAAGCATGGATGTGTTCTTACAAGGTCCTATAAAACTTTCCCTTTAGTTTCATTAGTATACGATGATCACATAAACTTAAGATACACCTCTCCACTTTGCCCACCAACTCTAATTCTATCCACGACATTTTTCTCAATTACTTCATTCTCTTAGATTATCATTCTTAGATATCGAAAATAATATTTTTTAATGTATTTCACTGTTATCAATTATAAACTATTTCCTTGTTTGTGCCTATTATTATAAACTTGCCCGACTAATTATAGTGTCTGGATCCCACTTCAAATTATGGATTGGGATCATTTTGATGATTAAAGTTAGGAAATTTATGTATAAATTATTTTTATTATGGAAATTTAAAAATAAATTATTTTTATTTTGTATAAATATACTTCATATATTTCATATTCTTATCCTTATAATTACGCCTTCCTCTTGAATTAATTCGTCACACTTCTAAATTTTCCGACACATTTATTTTGCAAATGGATTGGAGGATTAGTTAAAGACATAAAAGAGATTATAAATGGGTCGGGGGATTAGTTAAGGAAAGATAAGAGATTATTAGTAGAAAAAGTCAAAAAGATAGTTTCGAGAGAAAAATATTTGTTGGTTGTGGGCATTTTGCCCAATATAAAGCCTTATAGTTCACTCTTTGTGCGCCACTTTTTCACTTTTATGTCTAGGGAAAGGTTTCTATATTTTCTATACCACATAGAAGTTCTATCATCTTCCTACGATCCAGCCATCTAATTTTGATCAAGAGAGCTACTCACCGTTTGATCTTAGATCAGAAATCTCAAAGTATTTTATTTTTAATTTTTTATACTAATTGTATGAATATGAAATTTAGTACGTGGCATCTTCTCATTGGGGCACGCTTATTGACAATATTAAAAATAATTTTTCGATAAAATCTCTCTCTCTAAAAATCCATCTCTCTCTCTTCACTTCTCGATGAGTTTACCAACCAAGAGGTTTAGCTTGAGCTCGAACACGAGCACACCTTCTCATATGTATGAGAGAGATGGAGTTTTAGAGAGAGAGAGAGAGATAGAGTTTGGGTTTTAGAGAGTGATGGAGTTTTAGAGAGAAATGGAGTTTGAGTTTTAGGGAAAGAGATGGAGTTTTGAGAGAGAGATGAAGATGTGAGAGAGAGAGATGGAGTTTGGGTTTTATAAAGAGAGAGATAGAATTATTTCATAAGTTGTTGAGGTCAATAATACATAGTCAAAAGGGTTCAGGGGGTTGAAAGATAGAAAAAATGGAGTCATTTTGTTTACAAATTATAGTTTCAATTTTTGGATTTGATGAGATATAAAAGTTAAAAAGGATGATAGGATATTTTCTTTAAATTTTTTAATGTAGGGGAAACATAAAAAGCTTGCCCTTATATTTATTTTACAATAATTTCACAGCATATTGTTGAATGCAACACTCATGTTCCACAGTCCTTGAATGCGGCTTTGCTCGGTGGTCTCTTCTACAACATTGTAAACCGTGCGGTGCACATTTACCTATTGGTGACAATAAATGTTCAAAGAATTTTTGCTATTATACTACACTACCCAGGTTTTTATACTGAAAGATGAGATGATGCTTTTTGTTCTAATAAATCTACCAATTATTTGTAAGTGAAACTTTAACGAACTTTATAAACCATTTTAAAGAAACAAATCTTGAAACTATTATGAGTGAAAAAATAAATCAATTTTTGTTGTAAACTATTTTGATATCCATCTATTAAACCTACATATATAAAACCACTATTAAGGGTAGTCCAAATTTATTGTGCAAAACAATATATAAATGCATAATTGATAAATTGACCCATAGGATTTAAAATGTATAAGAATTTCGTATGATTTACAATGTATTTAGCTAGAAAACAATCAAATGTTCAATATAATTGTAAAAATTAATTTTAATGTTTAAATATAAGTAGTGTCGCCCCTATATTGGGGTCATTCAAGGCCAACAATATGAAACCTTCAAATTAAGATAATAATGGGGTTGTTCAGTATTAGCAACATGGATTCACATTTTTTTCATTGTAAACCCATGTTTTATGCTTGCTAATATTGAACAACTAATAGCTTGTTTAGGGTATTAACGAAAATAAGGGAAATTAGGTAATTCTTTAACCCGGGACCTTGGACCAACTAAAAAGACACTAAGCAAATATAATTATGAAAAAAGTTCATATAAGGCTAGCACGTTATATCGTATAATCAAGTTGCACCTTATAAATCCATTGCAAAGGCTATTTAGACATTCGAAAATCATCTAATTGGTCATCTCAACATTGTATGAATATTAATTAAAAAAAAAAAAAAGATTTCAAATCCCATAAATAGTACGTCTTGCGATATTATCTAGACCGTCTGTTTTCAAAGTTTCCATGTTTTATAAATCTGCTTGATTTGAATCATTTTTCGAGTTTAAAAAAATTTATAATTATAGGTTTAAATAGATTTTCAGGCCATACTAAAAATTTTCAACATATCTATAACGATGCACCTTACTTTGATGGATTAAGGTTGCAACGTTATGCACACCACACCATTTAATTAATTTTAGCCCAATAAAATTGACCGATATATATATCATGACCGCAAGTTATCGAACGATGCGTTTTGTAGAAGTGAATAATAATTGTAATGCTGCATGCAAGATGTCAATACCTTCTCCCATTGATATGTTCATCTTAAGCCGGCCGGATTCATGTACTAGGACTCTCAACCAACACAAGTACGATGGTCCACGGCTAACGTTTGATTTTGTCTATCTTGCATCTCTCTTGTCCTTATGGGTGCCCTACGAATTAACATTCATTGAGGGCACGTTTGGTTCGTGTGAAAATATTTTTTAAAATATATTTTTACTTGAAAAAAATTCTCTCATAGTGAAAATATTTTCATACCAATTAATTGTCAATTGATATAAAAAAATACAAAGACCAATTGATATGAAAATATTCTCACAACTAACGACATAAGAAATTTCTTTTACATGAAAATATTTTCCAAACAATATTTTCACACGCAAACATTTTCCTTCTTAACAAGGGACCAAAACGAACTGGCGCCTAACCACACTGTGTGCAATGAAGTACAGACCGAGCAAGAGCTTGAGAGCGTGCATGTGATAAACCATGCAGATGTGTTAAACCATGCAGAATTGATCGTAATGAAGTTGTACTTCAACATGTATTTTAAACAAGGAAAAAGTAAAAAGTTTATATAAGGTTGCAACCTTAAAATGTAGAACTACAGATGTACCTCAAAAATCTATCGAAAAAAATTGTTTTAATGTTGAAAAGCCCTCTAATCGAAATATATGAATAGGAAAAAAAAAAGATTTTGAATTCTATAAATAGCGCATCTTGTAACACATTATCTAGACAGTCCATTTTCTCTAGACCGTCCATTTTCAAAATTTTCATATGTTTATAGATCTACTTGATTTTAACTATTTTTTTTAGTTTAAAATTTTATAATTAGATATAAAAATCGATTTGGAGATAATCCTAATTGGAGGTGCACCTCAATTGGATTGTTTAAGGTTGCAACCTTATAGAAACCACACCCTTTTAACAATGTCACCGCATGATGAGCACCTCATTAAATTTGCAATATCACAAAATTTTGTTATACAGTTGGGATGTTTTTGGCACCATCTTGAAAACAGAAAATTCAGTAATAACAAATACAAGTCTTAAGAATCTTCAACAAAGGAGAATATCTCGATCGATGGTCCCATCTTGAAACCTCACTACAGCTCTGGATTGCAATTACTGAGTTCTCAAGTCCAAATCCAAACTAAAGAGAGTAAAAACAAAAAATGCTCTCGCATGGCTGCAAACACAAACTCTCAACTTCTATTGAGTAGGTCAGCAGGATGATCAACCTGGGATGTTGTGGTACAATTGGCGTCACCATTACCATCAAGCCAGGTGATCAATTCCCCACAAGCTCCAGAACTTGCAAGAAAGATTCTTCTTTCATCAGAAACCAAACAAAAACCAAAGAGAAAGGAATTAGAGAATTTTGGAAAATATTAAATTGGGATTGTATAAATCAAGATGCCATCGGAACTCACGTGGGAACGCCATTGATACGATGGTAAGCCCATCAAAAATCAATCCAAAATTCCATCATTAATTGATAACACAAAAATCCATACTAGAAACATATCAAGATCTAAGGATTCACTGGACCAGAACAGCTGATTACTCCACACGAAATTGGAAGGAAACATAAAAGATATAAAGGGGCAGCAAAGGAGGAATTTTAAGAATTTCAAAACTGCTGAGGGTAATATTGTTGTGGTGGTGGTGGTGGTGGTGGTGGTGGTGGTGGCGGTGCTTGTCCCGACTGATAAGGAGGAGGTGGATATTGCTGATAAGGAGGCATAAACCCAAATGGGGGATAAAACTGAGGGTACTGACCTTGTTGAGGTTGACCCTGATAACCATAATGAGGTCCATCTTGAGGCCTAAACTGACCCCCTTGTTGTTGTGTCTTCTTCTCTTGACCATCACCACTTTGTGAGCTACTAGTACTTGCCTCTTGAGAAGGAACAAGGGCACCCATTCTTTGAGGGTCCATTGATGGGTAGAATGTTCTCTCTGGTTGAGGAATGTTAAAGTAATGCAGAGGAGGTGGAGGGGGAAGTGGGTTTTGATCATGGGTGCCCGGTGGTTGTGGTTGGCTTTGCTGTTGAGATATGACAGCTCTAGGAAGTAACCCACCATGAGAAACTACCCCTTGTTTCATGGCCTCTTCATCTTGGGTCTCACCCTCCAGTTTTGGGGCTTGGGGTTTACCCCACATAAGTTTTAGCCTGAGCCCCTTTATGACCAGCTTATTTGAGAGCTCCTCGGCTGCTTTTTCAGCGCCTTCTCGGGTTGTGTATGTAACAAAGGCACACGCCCTTTGAAGCACCATTCTTATGGACTCAATCTCCCCATATGCATAGAAGTGGTCCTTGAGGTCTTGCTCAGTGACTCGCGTGTCGAGGCCACCAACATAGAGGGTCTTAATGCTCTCATCTTCAGGTGGGGTGAGAGAAGGCATGTCGCCTGCCTTGTTGAGAAGTTTCAGTGCAACTGGATCATTCACACTGTGAAAACACGTATTACTCAGACATGCTATATATAAAACAAGTGAAGCTTTTGTTTTAAGGAAATATAGAATGATTCAGATTCCAGATGGTCATGGTAATGGCAAAGTCATATGCATCACTGTCCAATCAATGGGTTGGACAGGAACAAAGGGAGAGTGGGAAGTACCATGCATAAGAGAAATGTATGCTATAAAACCCATGATAATGCTGTTATCATGATCAAATAGATCATACTCTACTTTCCCATCCAATGACAAGTAACACTTTGCAATGAGCAAATTTACATATACAAATGGCCCCAGCTATGAGGAAAATAATTGGAATTTGGATGTCTTCATGCATGGCAACAATGCAACATGGAGGAGGAAAAGATCTTAGATAAGAGTCGAGACCATACCCATAGTAGCGGTCCTTGATATTCTGCTGCGATAACTCCCCAGTTATGGGCATCTCATGCCTATATGGACATTCAGCACCCCTTGTGCATTCACCCCTCACATAGAAACTGCAGACATGTGCACGGTTTCTCTTGTAATATGGTGTTGTTCTTTGGAGCTTTAAAATGGTATCATTTGGGCGAGCTTTTCCATAAGATGATTCATAATCTATCCCAGCTCTAGCCTGTATCCACCCAATGAAATCACTCAACCAATTACAGCAGAAAATTATTACATAGGAACTCAACCCCAAAAGAGAAGAATCTTACAAGCTTTTCAGAACTATTGTATCCATCAACTATAGATCTCTAGTTAAAAAAATGCAACTTCAAAGCAAATAATACTCGCAAATAATTTCAAGAAATTCAGTGCATCTTTGAAAGCATTGGATATTTACCCATTCCCATTCCACAAACAAAGCTTCAAAGCTTCGAGGAAGCATTGGATATTTACCCACCAAAAGTTACATTGCTAATTTTAATTTTAAATACGAAACATGAAGGTGGACGCATTCATTTCAGTAGCAGACATAACCACAACAGGCACTCCCAATGCATTTAGTGACAGAAAATTATAGATTATAGAAAATAAGATGCCTCACGTAGTGTTAAAAGGTATCCATAAAAACATAAAGTCGATTGTGCCTGTAGCTGTTTTACTTGTATTGAATTAACAAACATATAGAAACTCCCAGCTTACCAATGCAGCTCTGTAGATATTTTATTCTACTCCTTCGACATTTTAGATTGAAAATCATAAGCACATCATCAGACAAATCTATAGGAGCCATTTCCATCCCTGTCCCCAGGATTCCCAAACTTCAGATGATATGTCAGCTCTGATGTGACCAGAACAATGAAGGTGTCACCGTTGTTGTCTTCTGGGGACAAGGATAATAAATCAATACATTTGATTGTACTGCAATTTGAGCGAGTATATCAATACAGCCAGCCAAGCTAATCTAAGGAAGCCCAAAAGTTCATGAGCATCACAGCAGATCACTAAGTTAGACATGCACCAGATAAATAGCTTAGAAAATTATTTGGAAGTTATTCCCACGCTACTTTTGCTAGCAGGTGCGTGCTAGCAATTTTTTTTCCAATTTTTCAAAATTGTCATCCATTGTGAAATCCTAGACATCACCTTGAAACCAGATTACTTACAGAAAAACAAAGATGTATATATGACTGAGGAAGAAGAAAACTTTCACAGGCATGACTTGTTCCACTTATTGCAGCAGGATTATCACCTGAAACCACTGATGCTTACTCATATGCTGGCTGGTCCGTTAAATCCAGAAGAGGAAAAAAAAAACTCAGGTTCGAAGGAATAAACCTTTAATCAAGGCCTACAAGGAAGTCTACTCTCCACCCCAAATTCTCTATATTTTAAATTTTCTGCAAGAACCATCTCTAACAAATAAAATTGGCTTTATAGACCATGTACTTGCCCATTATCCGTTAAATGGAAACCTCCAAAACAAGCGTGCGTGTATGACATACCAAACCAGTGAAAAATAAAATAAAAATACGAACTTCCTATTCTACAAGACTGCAACTAACTGACTCTTTACTGACCCATATCCAATTCACCTAATTGAAATTTCTGTTTCCCAGTACTAAAGATAGCCAATTGATGCCTCGATTCCCTCACATCATGCTTCTCATAATACCAATGTCATCAATGGCAGATGCAGACTCAATGCGGTCGCGGGTTCAAATCAGGATGTGGCTCGATGCAGTCCGACGATGCATCACAAATGATGCAGTCAATACATTTAAAAACAATTAAAAAAAATAAAAATATGAGAATGCATGGAAAACACGGATGTGTTATTTGCGTGATAGTAGAAATTTAAATTCAGTACTTCTCTCTAATATATTAGTTGTCCTAGTCGCCTGACACTCTAATAGTCTGAAAAGAGCAACATAGTTATAGTCTTACATGTCTTACTATAAAGCAATCCACTTCATCCCAATAGTAACGACAGTAAACAATTTAACATGACATTCAAAGACCAAAAATACTTGCACAATCACAAGCCTACAACCACAACCTAAAATAACTTAGAAAGCCCAAATCGGAAGAAATTTTAATTTCTTGGATTCAATCACATTGGCCTTGTACTCTTTCAAATATTTGTTGAATCTTTGCTAGAAAACATTCAAAATGAAGCCCCAAATAATATCAAACAATCCAACAAAGAATCAAGAACGACCACAAATTGATTTTCTAAAATTTTGGAAAGAAATTTTTTTTTTTTTTCTTTTTTTATTTCAATCCCCTTATAACCATGAAATTTCTGTTTCCCAGTACTAAAGATAGCCAATCGATGCCTCGTTTCCCTCACATCACTGCTTCTCTCATAATACCAACGTCATCAATGGCAAATGCAGACTCAATGGAAAATGCAGACCCGATGCGGCTCAATGCAGTCCGAGGTAGGATGCATCACAAATGATGCAGTCAATACATTTAAAAACAATTAGAAAAAAATAAAAATATGAGAATGCATGGAAAACACAAATGTGTTATTTGTGTGATAGTAGAAATTTTAATTTAGTACTTCTCTCTAATATATTAGTTGTCCTAGTCGCCTGATGCCCTAATAGTCTGAAAAGAGCAACATAGTTATAGTCTTACATGTGTTATTATAAAGTAATCCACTTCATCCCAATAGTAACGACAATAAACAATTTAACATAACATTCAAAGACCAAAATACTTGCACAATAACAAGCCTATAACCACAACCTAAAATAACTTAGAAAGCCCAAATCAGAAGAAATTTTAATTTCTTGCATTTAATCCAATAGGCCTTGTACTCTTTCAAATACTTGTTGAATCTTTGCTAGAAAACATTCAAAATGAAGCCCTAAATAATATCAAACAATCCAGCAAAGAATCAAGAACGAGCCTCAAATTGTTTTTCTGAAATTTTTGGAATCACAAAAAAATTTTGTTTCTTGTTTTATTTCAATCCCCTTATAACCATGGAGGCATGGTTGTAGTCCCCCATCCCCCGTCCTCATTCCCCCAGGGGGTTTTAAGTTTTGCCCCTACTCCTGGGCAGACCCGCACATCATGGGCAATGCAGGTGATGCAGCCAATGCAGACGCATATGCAGTCAATGCACCGCATATGTGGCCGCATCGCGAAATCCCACATATGCAAATCAGCAATGCCCCCATAGCCGCATAACGCATTATGTGGCCACATAATGCGTTATGTGGCCGCATTTGATAAAACTGCAATAATACATCAGAAGAATCACTTGATACATTCAAAACACGAAAGAACGAATCGCCTAAAAATCATGTTGATCACTGAGTACTAAGTCCCAAAATGATAAACATAATGACTCAGCAGGTTGCAGACATGTATGCAACATTTTACAAGAAAAAATATTTTAACGAGTGTATATGACATGTAGTACAGCATGCAAATCTGTTAAATAAACCAAACAATATGCAGAGGAAGAATCTAGATAGTATCCTAGCAGCAAATGATAGAACATAAGTATCATACTAAGCAATTTTCATATGACGATTAAATAGACAAACAGTATTCTAAAACCCAGCTCGGGCAAGGTACTCTGCATCTGCCCGAGCTAAGTGACTAGGCCAAGTTGACTTGGACTATCTGAAGTCCAGCTGGAGCCATAAAAAGGGCAAAAAAACATTAAAAAAAAGGAAGTAGAAGTCGTACAAAATCAAAGACTTCAGAAAAACAATAAAAATTTCCATAAATGGTACAAATAAAAAACTATACATGGCATGAGAAAAATGGAAAACCCAAAAAATAAGGGAGCTTCAGAAAAACAAAATAATAAAAATACAAAAAGCATAACAGTATATACAAAATGAGTAAAAAAGCAATTGGATTTGATTTAGTAAAAATTAAGACTTTGAATTGATAAAAATGAAATATTACCCAAGCTTCGAAGCTAATCCACCAAACTTCCCACTGGATGTGAACCGATGCTTCAAGTTCTTGTCAAAGTTTCAATCAAAACCACCAAATCAGTTTTGGGTTTCAAGTTTGTTCCAAGAGAACCAAGCTCTTGAAAAATTCTGATGAATAGTAATTCCAAATTTCAAATCTCTCAAGTCCTAATTGATATTATTTCAAAAGTCAAGCATGTGGTTGGAGCAAGAACACAAAATTAGGCTTAGAGATCAAATTTCATCAAATTCTAACCATCAACTGTGAACAAATTGCAATTTTTTCAAAATCAGTCAAATTCTTTCTTTTTTTTTCTGAGAAAAGTTAACTTAAAATCAGTCAAATTCTTTCTTTTTATTTCTGAAAAAAGTTAACTTAAAATCAGTCAAAATCTTGACTTACATTTTGAACCAAAAAGTCAGATCTAATTTTTGTTCTCAAATCTATTGTTTTCCAATAGATAAATCATGCTAAAATCTTATTGAGGATGCAACTCTAGCCAAAAAGGCCCACCCTAAACCTCAAAATCAAAGAAACCAAGAAAAAAAACGTAGGATTTTCAGCCCCCTTTTGAACTTATCACCACACAATACTCAGGGGAGTATTGTAGCAACTCACCTGGTTATTATGAAACTCAGGCAAATCAGCCCGAGTTTCATACTACACAAGCAAGTTTGTACAGAACTTGCCCCAGTATCATACGAAGTACTGTTAGGTACCCTATTTCGTGCTCCACAGGTTACCCTGTCCAAGTAACTTGCCCAAGTCCAAGTCGACTTGGGTGAATTTTCAAACACTGGACAATAAGTTCCATGACATCATTTATTAAATTAGGATATAAGATAATCTTTCTGTCTCCTATAACATAAAATGACCATGACATTCAAACAGAATTTTGAAGCGTCAAGGACAGGATTTTTAGTCACCAGAAGATATTAAGCACCTACATTAAATCCAGTTTATAAATCTTCCAAAGTAGTAATGGTGCTACTTCCTACTATCATTCACAACACAAATTGTTTGAACCAAAAATAATGGAAACAAAAGTTTAACCTGGGTATTCAATTGCGGCAACAAATTTCAATCATACTCTTCCAAATATTACAGCCATAAAACAAGACCCAACAATTGAAAACCAAAGCATGACTATGATTGTAAACAATATTTAGCCTTATGGACATGGGATATTATTCTACAGCATACCTTGCGATCATGCTCTTCTGCAAAGTATTCCTTGTTCACATCACTCTTTGGAATGGCATCATTGGTAATAGCTAAAGCAGTGTCCCGAACCTGGACTGGCAACCCATATTCAAGATCAAGGAGACACACTTGGCACACATTCTTCAGCTTGCTACAAGTTTGACAAACCTCAGTTTTTTTGTACCTTGCATCACGACCAGGTCTCCATCTAAATACAGTGAAAGGTCTCGAACAAATCTTACATTCCTTATCAAAATTTGCTTTTGTCTGCATCCCCAAAAAAAATCCTATAAGAAGAAGCCTCAGTAACTACTAGACAGGAATCAAAGTTTATATGGATATCATATAAAAAATGTCCAACTTCTCATGAGGAAACATTTCCAGCTAAATTCAGGACATGTGTTTCCATGGAAGTAAAATTCGACAGACTTGCTTCACATCCTCTAAGTAAAAGATATCACATATCATATATAGTGATCTGTGTTTCCATGGAAGTAAAATTCAACAGACTTGTTTCAAGTCCTCTAAGTAAAAGATATCACATATCATATATATTATACACGTTATAAAACACATATTGTCAAATTGTCAGAAAATAAATATTATTTTTTCACTTGAATATCAAAATACTCATAATAGCCATTGGCCTGAAAGTCCAGAGGTTTTAGTTAAAGAATAAAACCCACCACTAAAAAGATGCAATTATTTCTCTATCAGTAAACCAATCTTCAGCACCATAAGAGATTATTTCTCTATCAGTAAACCAATCTTTCAGCACCATAACACAGAGATCAATATGAAAGAGGGAAAGGAAGATCAATATGAAAGAGGGAAAGGAATTCCAATATGGTTCCAACACAAGTACAAAGTTCATGAGAATGAATAAGCAACTGCGATAATTACTAAACGAAGCTTATTTTATTTTAGAAAGGTAGAATGCTCTGTCAAAAACAAAACGGAGTAGATTACTAGCCATTTTATTTTAGCAAGGTAGAATGCTCTGCCAAAAAAAAAACGGAGAAGATTACTCACCATTCGAACATAAGGGTTGTCTCCCAAACACGATTCACATATGATTGGGAAATCAGAACGCTCCCAACCATCAACTTCCGAATCTCTGAGCAATCTGTGCGCCATTTGCTCTAAATCTCAACCAAACCCTAAACCAAAGAAATTCCCCTGAGACCACCCTAAATTTCTACAAAGAAGAATACAGCTTAAAACCCTAGGTTATCCGTAAACCAAGTAATTCGCCTGAAACCGCCCTGAATTTCACCTAAACCCTAAACGAATAAATTCCCGAGACCTTTTCTACGAAGTAGAATACAGCTTAAAAACCTAGCCTAACCTAAATAAGCGAACAGAAGAAGCCTTAAAACCATTGACACTACAAATCATCATTGTCCCGATAAATCCTTGGCTTCGGGTCAGACAAACGCAATCCTGGCGTCAGCTTCGGCCGACAAACGCTCACACTCTTCCACTCGTTGCGATAAATAAAGAAAACCGGATGCAAGTCGCCCATTTAATCGAAATTTTTTCAAAAAAATTAATAGCGACTCTTTCAAAAAAAAAAGACACGTTTTTTAAAAAACTATTTAATATGTGACTTTTTCAATAGATCGGTAAAAATACGCGATCTTTTAACGAAAAAATTTAAAAGGCGATTTTTTCAAAAAATTTGCTTTAAAATATACTTCCTACTAATACACTGCCTTTTTTTTAAAGTTCAATATGTTTTTTTTGTTTTATGAAATTTCTATTTCTATTTTTATTTTTATTCTCCCAAACTTTCTCACGTTGTCTGCTATGGATAGCTATGGATATGGTGAGTATTTTTTCGGGTGGTTATAGTTAAACCATAGTTAGCAAGTATGAGACAGATAATTTTTTTTAGAAAAATGTAAATTGAATTCACCTACCAATACTTAACTTAGAATAGATAATCCAGAGATATATCACATTAAATATTTGAAATTTATATTTACAGGGAGGTCATTTTTATATTGAGTGATATATAGAGTAAAAGCATTACTCCTCACCACTACTAATTTTTTCTATATTGAGTGATATATATATTTAGAGTTTTAAAATTTCTAATATTTTAAATATATCTGATTTTTTACTCCGATTTTTTTACCTTAGTCCAATGTATTCGCGATCTCTTTATATGAAGTATATTTGCCAATCCATATTTTTTACCTGATTTTTTTATCCGACTTTTAAAATAAAAATGATTAGTTTCCGATTTCATGGTGAGCCGATTTATTGATAATCTCTTACTTACTAAATATGATGTGGATACGCTCTCTCTCCATTATTCATTTTTAAATGGATTTTGAACATCAACTTGAAAAAGTTTATTTAAGAGTGCGGCTCTAAACAATGTGCAACTCAAAATTCACTAGAAATGGTTGTTTCGATGCTCAAAAATCCTCAAATCCATCATCTCAACGTTAACATGTATAGACATGAGAAAAACAATGGATTCATTTCTTGAAGATAGTGCAACATATAATATATTTTCTGGACCGTCAATTTTTAAAATTCTCAAATATTCATAGATCTGCTCAATCTACACTATTTTTTAAGCTTTAACTTTATAATTAGATATAAAGATAAATTTTCAGTCCATCACAAGGATTTCTAATATTAAAACATCTTTCAACACTATTTGAAGGTGCTCTTTACTTAGATTGTTTAAAGCCTCAACCTTATACGAACCACACCACATAAGTTCTGGTTGAGTTTTACATAAGGTTGCCACCTTAAACAACACTTCCAAACTTTGTCCAAATATATAATTATAGTGCCGAGAATTTTTAGAACGGCAGAGAATCTATTCTCATATCTAATTATAAAACTTTGAACTTCAAAAATAGTTCAAATCAAGTAGATCTATAAATATCTTGAAAATGGACCGTCCAAGTAATGTGTAAGATGTGCTATTATTTCGACTTAAATTTCTTTTTTTTCCCATATCCATACTTCTCAAAATCTAGATAATAAATTAGATGGTTTTACAGTGTCAAAATTGCCTCTTCCGATGGACTTTTGATGTCCATCTTAATTCTACAATTTAAGATGTCAACCTTATATTAACTTTTTCTCAAGTTTTTCCAAGTAATATATAAGCCCAAATATTGGGATCAATGTAAAAAATAATAAATTTTAAAATTAAAAATTATATTTTGGTAAAATAATTTTGGACTATCAATTTTATTTATTTTGTGGGACTTCTACCTTTTCACATCAATCCTCGTAATGGATGGTTGATGCATGTGGGGATGCCAATGTAGAATTGCGGCCTCCTACACATAATACACTTTTTCATAAATAAATCAAGGGAAATTATCATAAATATATCCCAATTAAAAAAAAAATTTCCAAACGTTCGTAAAGCTCACCCATACCTTTTTTCCTCAATTTTGAGTTTTTTTGTACTAAAATAGCTTTCACGGTAGTTGTATTACCGTGAATGTCGTCTTTAGCATCACAGTACTCCAAGTAATGCGATTAATTGATCATCTACTACGGCACTTAAAGTGCAGTAATTATATTTTTTTCTTGTTCAAAACCGGAAGAATAGGGATGGTGATCAGATAAACATTGCAACCAATCCATACCAAGGATAACTGATCCTTTTCCTCTCGATTTGTATCATTATATTTATCTGTACACCTAGAGAGAGAACCTGGGGGATTTTCTACATATTTATTTCCTTTATTGCATGAGGGAGATAAAGATAAAGAGAGTTATATGGGAGGAGAGAGGATTTTTATTTTCAATATCCCTAAATTCTTTGGTGCCTTTTAAATAGGATAGGAAGATATTCTTAAAAATAATGCCTAAGAGATAGGGAGAGATAGATATGTAAGGGTGTATGTAGCCTCCTCGTTCTTGATTCTGAACTAGAAGAACTTGCCGCTAGCCTTCTTCTCCAACTCACCTGACGCTGGCTTCTTCACACAAATCTACCCGGTGTTGGCTCTTCCAACTGTTGCTGGCTTCTTCACACAAATCCAACCGACGCTAGCTTCTTCACACAAATCCACTCAGCGCGGGGTTCTTCACACAAATCCACTCGGCGCTGACCTTCTTCTCCAACTCACCCGGTGCTGGTCTCTTCCAATCGACGCTAGCCTCTTCACACAAATCCACCTGGCGCTGCCCTCTTCACACAAATTCACCCGGCGTTGGCTCTTCCAACCGGCGCTGACCTCTTCTCCAACTCACCCGGCGCTGGCACTTCCAACAGGCGCTGGCCACAACCTTAGCCTCCCTATCCCGCCATGCCTTCTAACTGCCCTGGAAAAGTTTGAGTTGTCATACTCTCTCACCCCAAAAGCTTGGGGTTGCTCTCTGTGCGAAATCTTGGGTACTTCTCTTAATGTTTCTTGCAATCTGTGAAAGAAATAACATTGGATTTATGCTTATATTCACAGTAATTTGAGGCCGCATTTTTTTTTTTTTATAGGTGTACATCATCTTTATATGAAAGCACTTTGTTTTTCTCCAAGGCTAGCTATTTCTTTTTTATAAATTTTTTTTCAATATCTGTAAGTTTCTTAATATTATTATATTGTACAGTCTGATTTCTATCTACATCCTATTTTTTCCTGAGTTTACCAACATCCCCATGATCATGCAAATTTTTTGACAGTTTTCATAACTCAGAACCTCTTGAAGTTAGGGTTTAAGACTCTAACCTCAAACCTTCTCTGTACGTAAGCAGGCTTCCCAAAATTTTGAGATTGCAACAAGCTTTGTTTTAAATTTTTTGCAATTACACCATGCAATATCTCTCGGCAATGTTTTCCCCCGTCCCACGCCTTCTTGCTATTTTCCCAAAATTTTGAGACTGCATCAAGTTTTTCTTCTTACTTTAAGAAGGCTAAGAAGTCCCTTCAATATCACAGTTAAATTCACTGAAATTTTAGTATTGTTCTTTTCCCTGTTTTTTCTTTTTTATGCAAGTCCACTAAAGTTTGTTTTACAGGGAAACAATTGTGTTTTGTCTAAAACACAAACTCGACCTCAAAGGGTCTTTGTTAATTTTAATCTCTAAATTTTGATGTTGATTTATATATTTATTTTGCGTGCTTGGTTTATAATTTAAAGATATTTATGGATATTTTATTTGCATGATAATTCATTACGTTGCATGATTATCCTACGCCTATGGTCTCTTTTGCATAATAATTATCATTGCATTCCATAATTATCTTATGCTTTAGTCTCTTTAAGTTAGAAAATTTCATGATCTTGATTTTGTGAATTCTTTTTTTTTTTTGTCATTATGCAATGCCATATTTTTGTTGAAAAATATCAAATATCATTGTAGACTCTCTCTCTTGTGCTAAGACATATTCACATATTTATAAAAATTATTCTTATGCAAGATATGACATAAAGTTGTTGTTGCCTTACTTTATTACTTTTTTGCTGTATCATAGCACTGCAAACATAAACTGTTCGAGAAAATTTTTTTTTTAGGTTGCAGCTCATTGAGAATCGGCAAACCTATTGATTTAGCTAGCAGACAACCTTCTTTTAAACACAATTAAAATTTTTGAACTTTTAGGTATTATCTAAAAATTTAAAATGGCATCTAGGCTAGTCATGTCAAAACTATCCAAACTTGAAAAACTCAATGGGACCAATTTTTCTATGTGGAAAAGAAAAATTTGGTATATTCTTTTCCAAGATATGATAGATTATGTCCTAGAAATAGAACCACCAGTCTTAGAGCCTAATGCCAATGGTCAAGCGAGAAGGCGACTTGAAAAATGGTTAGAAGATGACAAAGTAGCTAGGACTACTATGTTGAACTTTATGAAAAATGATTTAATTAGAGTCGTTGAGGATCACACCACAGCTCAAAGCATGATAGGTGCCCTATCTGAAAAAATATGAGACCACTTCTAAGACCCTTGTGCAATTGTTATTAGAAAACATAATTCTTGCATAATGAAAGAATTGAACTCAGTGAACGAGCATGTCAATAAAATGACAGTGCTTGCAAAGGACCTTGCTGCAGTTGGGAATCCAGTCCCCGATCACATGCAAGTGTCCATTGTCCTTAACAGTCTCCCTCCATCTTGGGAGTCTGTTGTAATTGCATTAATCATTCCGCAAAAGAGATAATCATGTTAAATATTCTCATGCATCTCAGTATTGAAGCTAAGAGAAGAATGAGGAAGAAGTTAAATGAGCTCTGCTTTGCCTAAAGTTCATCTTCTCAGATCCTCAAGAAACCTTTCAATAATTAGAAAAATAATAGGTATAACCCCAAGAAACCTTTCAATAATCAGAAAAATAATAGACATAAGGGAGATGAGAGAAATTTTAAAAATCAAAAGAATAAGGTTGAGAAGACTTGTTTTTATTGTAAGGAAATTGGGCACATCAAGTTTAATTGTTCTAAGCTGAAAAATAAAAATAGGAACCAGAATAACAACCCTATTCGAAATAATCAAAATAAAAGAACTGAATTAA